CTCTCTTCAGGGAACCTTATTGTTTGTATTTTCAATCTGATTAATTCCTTCCTTGACCAACAATTAGTGAATGGTAGTAGGTTTTTTAGTTTGTAGTACAACTAGATAACTGTAACAATGAGCAAGGTAATATGTAAAAAATTAAAAACAAGAGTGGAGAAAATACCCTTTAGTACTCCAATGATACTAAAACATTGTCTGTTTTATTGATACTTATGTCATTATCACCATCACCTCCTAGGAGATCTCGCGGCCATTGTCTCCTCAGTCGGCGAGGAGGGTTTGAGGGGATTCATCGGGATGCGAGGTTTCTGATGTGCTAGTTTACGATGGTTGGAAGGTTTTTGTGAAATTTGCTGTAACGGGAATGGATTTCATTTTGAACGAAAGCGATATGTAAGTCTGTATCTGTAGTTACATTCAATACATAAAATGACGCATCTGGTATTTTTTCGTAGGATTAAGATCTGGGCAGTGGGCAGTTTGAATGCGGCGGATGTTGTTTGGTTGAACCCCACACTTCTAGTCCGTAAGTCCATACCGGGTTAACTATGGTGTCGTAAAGCAACCTTATTTTTGATACGTAAATTAGAACATTTGTCAAGAATTCGTACAGGAGATCTGTACCTCAACCTTAACAAACCTCCTGATGTTTTAGCCGTGTGTGAGGACTCCACGTCAGGCATTTGCCGATGTACACCTTGTCCGCAGTTGGGAGAGGAGATCGTTTTACGGAGGTGAAGGTAATGTGGGTGAATTTGTCTGTGTTAAATTTTATCGTTTTCTTTTGACACCAAGACTCTAGTAGTGTGAAGTTTTGTTGGAGGTTGTGAGTGAAAATGACAAGGTCGGTGTTGCTAGAAAGAATTGTCATATAGTGTGCAAATGTGAATGTGGTGGTTTCCGGATGTGATGGCAAATCAGCTGTGTACACCTGATATAGTGTGGGGATCAGAACGCTAGCCTGAGGAATACCAGCTCGAATAAGGAAATATGCAAAGAGGAATTGGCCTTCGATGACTTGGAAAAATCGGCCAGTGAGGTAACTGTGCAGTATGAGATAGGAGGTAGGTAGATCTTAGCCGTTGAGCTGTAGTAGGTTAAACTTGTATGTTTTTTTAAAGTAATCAAGAAATGAAGTTGATTTAATTTAAAATCTTCCTTATTTTCTCTCTTTTCCTCTGTACAACTCTTTCTCTACTTTGTTCTCCGTTCTAAACTTTACATTTTATTCTCTCCGTTTGTCTGCCTGCCTTTGCAGGGCGTGTGTGAGAGAGAGACCTCTCATAGGTCATACAACACAAGTGTTGTAAAACATTGCCAATTACCTCGGTGCCATGTAAGTCGGATGTTTGAGATTATAATTAGAATCATTAAAATGCTGCGTAGTGTAAAGTCCATAATTGAAGGATACTGACAAACAAAGTCTCGCAATTATGTCAAGAAGGAGCACAGCCTGGAAACGGGAAAGGGCTGACTAGGCAGCAACTCGTGTCGCCGCTCCCCCCCCGCAAAACGCCCGTTTAAATAATGGTATCAGTTTTAATCAGAGCTTTGTAATGATAGAGGAACCCGCCGGAAGAAGGGAGACAAGTTTATAATTGCTCCCTCAATTACTCCTCAACGCTGAGAATGTTTTCCGCCTCATAAATTCAACTCGGACTCCTCAGACACTTGACAGTCTTGAAGCACCGAGATTCAACGTATTTAAATTCACCTCCTGAGGGAAAGCTTACTGTTTAATAATTACTTAATTTACCTGGCGGCGTGTTGAGTTTGATATGCGAAACTCCAATGTTCACGATTACAAAACACATATGATTTAGCCACCCTTATTTGCGATATAATGTAGTACAGCCCTATGTCTACCCAAACTATATTAATATATCAAGATCAAGATCCTGTAATAAATAAGTTTTATATATAGTCTTCAATTATTTGATTGTCCGAAACTGTAGTCATCAATGATCGAAGACCCCCCCGCTGGTGATTCGTTTTATGACTTTTGAATTGTAATTTTGTACACTGGCTCATAATACACGCCACTGCGACGAAATATTTATGCGGCGCCAGTATCAGCCGGTCGACTTATCAATTAAAACGTTAGAAACGACTTTATATTATTATATTATTTGTAACGTAATGTATCAAAGCGTTTTGGACGCTTTCCAAAAGCCGTCTTCTCCGTCCCGACGGGGTTGAATTTTCAAATTGTTTACTCAGAAAAGTGTATGGTGCATGGACGGGGTGGTTCGTTATAAATCATTAATTAGCCGCCACTTGTTCAAGCCACAAGAATAACACAAACAATGAGTCGGACTTTGGGGGAAATCGCATTTCGGCGATTTACAACAAACCGCTAAGCAACACAAATGTAATGAATGTTTTGTTTTTAAAAGCCGGCCTACACTCTCTGAAAACAAATAGAGACGAAAAGTCTAATGGCTGTTTGTAATTTTTTGAACTTGTGAAACTAATATGTAACTCGTGTGTAAAGCTCAGCTTTGACGTCGTTACAGGATATGCCACATTCACCGTCCGAAGTAATACCCCTCGCCCACCCAAACGTACCTTGGCAGACGCTAAACCTGGACCCTAGACTTACAAATAAAAAGACAAACTGAACAGACACTTCGGACTTCTCTATAAACTACTTGGATGCAATATCAACAAAAAACAAACTGACACTCACAAAACACCACTGAAATCATTATTTCGAGATCGTGAGATGCGGTCTGGTGTGACGTTGGTTTTAGAAAAGCATTTTCTTTATCGTGCCAACGTTTCGATCTTTATTGAGATCATCTTCAGGGCCTGGGATTTACAAACATTGTTTATATATTACAATTACATTTTGGATGTGGAAAAGTGAATTTATACAATGCAAAATATATTTTTTTATATATTCAATCATATGTCATTATTGTGTGTCGTGTTGAGAGTGCCCACTTGGCTTGGGGTGAGCCCTGAAGAGGATTTCAATAAAGATCGAAACGTTGGCACGATAAAGAAAATGTTTTTCTAAAACCTACATCACACCAGACCGCACCTCACGATCACCAAATAATTATTAACTAACGGTCACTAAACACCACACATTACTACTGAAACCTTTTTTGGACATATTGACTGGAACCAGAGTTGGGCAAAATCAAACTAATTCAATCATGATTAAGAATTTTGATTGAAGTTTGATCATGATTGAGTTATTCTTGAGTAAATTAATCATTATATGATTTAATCATAATTAATTCAATCATGAGGTATGACTAAATCATATAATGATTAATTTATTCATGACTAATTCAATCATGATTAAACTTCAATCAAAATTCTTATCATGATTGAATTAGTTTGATTTTGCCCAACTCTGGCTGCAATGACCAACTTATCAAAATCCAACCGACTCCGGATAAAAATTTTGAGATGAGAGTCGTGCTCAAGGCCAGCCTTCAAAAATTGTTATCATAAACGAAAACCAAAGTTACATAATTATTCTACATGTCTATTTTATTACAATCAAGACCCCTCGATGGTGTATTTTCCAAATAATGTAGAAATCTCTCCTTTTAAGTGGAATAAATTTTAATTCAAAAAAATATTTTTTCCATTGATCGGTTATGTAAACATATTTACTTTTTAAAGCGTAGCTTGTTCTAGGATTTTGTAATTTAATTTTATTATTATTATTATTATCATTATCATTATTTTTTGGCTTTTTATAACGACGGAGTTTTACTTATAATTGGAAGATTGAATTTTGTTAAATAAGGTGTTGAAGGATTTTCGTTTTGATGAAATAAATTTCTGTTAGAATTTTTTTCAAAAGTGATGAAGTTGTGTATTTTTCATTTTTCGAGCACACATTTGAACATGATTTATCGAAATTTAGTCATGACTAACTATATTGTGACTAAATTAGTCATGCCTCGTATTTAATTACTAGTCATGACTAATTTATCCATCAATTACATATGTTGACTAATGACTGAATTATTCACTTACTACCAATCATGACTAACGGTCTGAGTGATCAATAATTAATCATTAGACATGACTAATTTTTGCCCAACACTGACTGGAACTATGGCGCATATAGTGTACACTACCTTGGGGTTTGTTCTAATCTTTGCTCCGTTGACTCATGCTTAACCATGGAACTGACAAATACAAATTAAGAAACAGGAACTGGACAGATGCTTCAGACAACTGTAAACACTACTTGGTAACAAATCTAACATGTCGACAATTTGGGTATACGGATTAGAACTATGCGGTGTCGCTAAACCTACCAACATCCGACGAATGTCAGACCTTACATTCCAAAGTCCTCAGAATCATAGTCCGAGATCCCTAATATGTCTCAATACCACCTCCACAACGGCCTCAAAATACCCTTTGGAAATAAATCGACGATATACTCTCCACTCAATCCAACCCACTAGCCAAATTCATAATCCATCCCTACACGTGATTGTAGTTGTCTGATTTAGTCAGCCGAGTAAAGCGGATATGGCCCCGGGACCTCCTCGCCAGGACAGCACGTGTTTGTTGGGAGAACAGAGTGGTTGTTAACTCCCTTCATGACACACTGTATTCCAACTTTGTATGATATTCCATAAAATTACAAAATTTATTGTTTTATACATATGGTAACAAATATTATATTAGTAAAAAAGACTTTCCTACAAAATTTACCCCTGTTGTGAAAATGTCTCAATTTCATTTGGTCATAAAATAAGCAACATCGTAGAACATGTTTTCTATTTGTAATAGACAATTGGAATAGTGTTGTTGTTTCCTTTGTAAATGGAAATTTATGGATTTGGGACCGTCACTTGAGGAGTTCGTTTCTTTTTAACCTGGCTCTGATTAAATATTTATAAATACAGGGGAAACAAGAAGAGCGAGCACAGCTTCCTGTTTTTTCAAACGTTGTTGCCGTTGACGGAAATTCATGAACGATTCCGCGAATGGAACTGTTTTTCATAATTGCTCACCGTTTTCGCCGTTGTAGTTGATATCCTCGCCGTCCTCACGTCTCCACATGACGTACGGCTCCGGGTATCCCTGGGCCTTACATGTCAGCGTCACGTTCGCCGATTCCCTCACAACCATGTCTGTGCTCGTTTCTTTGTCGACTATGCTCGGAGGAACTGGAACAAATGACAAAAATTATCGGAAGAAAACACTCTACTCGTATGCGATTGTTAGAGAGGTTTCGCTTCCATCTGTTGATCCAGCAAGGGTCCTTCTTCACTCAAACGCGTTTCGGCATTGCGCCATCTTCAGTAAGGAACGCTCTGTCATTTGTCAGATTGGGATTACGTCATTGGGTCCGTCGGTTGTCCCTAGGGTCGTTTGCGGTCGGGAGCGTGGTCATAATGTTCATTGGTCGGTCAAGATGTTGGTTATTTCCGTTTGTTTTTTTGTTATGATGGTTTCGATGTTATTTTCTTCAGAGGGTTTGCGTTTTTTGTTATGTAGTATATTAAGTGTGTGAATGTGAGTTTGTTTGACGTTTATAAGTTTTCCATCTTTACGTGTTATTTTATAATTTATGTGTATCTCTACGTTCTCCTGTACGTTGAGCTTTCGCCATTTTTGTGCGATGCGTATTAAAGCCAAGCTGTTTTTACTGTGTTAGGTTCGTGATTGTGATCTATTAAGTGTATGTGTCATAATTTGATTTCCCGTCGTTGCTTTTGAAGGATCTGCGATACTATTAATTCTCTTCCGGTCTGTCCAATGTCTCCGCATTAACAAATGATGCAGTAAACACCGCTTTTGTTCAGCGGCTCTGTTTCTTTTTACTAGTTTATCTGTGTTATTGTTGTTCCTTAGTGTTGTTTTTAGTCCGAATTTGTTGAACAAGTATGTTAGTCTGTAGGTTTCTTTTTCATTCCATTTGTTGTCGTTTTGTGTTTTTTGTGTGTAGTTTCTGGATTTTGCTTGTTTTGTCTGTTTGCTTTATTGTATTATTGTTTATAGTTCTTGCTGTAATTTTCAGTCTATAGCTTTCCCTCCAGGCACTTCTCAATCCGGGGTAGAATTGAATTTGAATTTTTTTCTACAATGCATTTTATTGAGTAAGACCCTGTACGTCCTATTTAACACATCTCTCGTAGTATACCACATCTAGAAACGTTGTTAGATATATTTATAAATAAGAGAATAAGTAAATGCATAAATTTCAAAGTTGGTCCTTGGTGTTGGTCTGCGAGTTGATCAACTCACTCTGAACCGGCATTGGGTCATTTATTTGGTGCGACATCTTCAGTGAGGAACGCTGAATCATCAAACGCTTTAGGTTCTCACCAATATGGCGTAGTTCAACACACTACTACTAAAGACGGACCAAATAAGTAACCCAATGCCGGTTCAGCATATACATTTCAAATAACTTAATAAACTAATATCTTAATACACAGGGGAGGGAGAATTTACAAATAGAAGTAATGTTATTTGCGTCAAAAAAGAGAGATGTACTATTAGACGTTACAATATTCCACATAATTCATTTTCCACTCTTGGAATGTTGGATTATTTTACTTTTCTCTTTTCTGTCAATAGTTAATTTAAGCTTGAAATGATTCAATATCATTATTAAGATAATGTATATCATATATGTACATTTTCTGTGTGGATGTACATACAAATTCACCACCCCGCCGTGCCTTACGCAGCATACTTATGGATCTAATAAACTAAAAACTTGGAATTTGGGCAGAAAAGAGGGAAATGTCTGAGCTTTTGGTCTTCCTCGGGCCATGCCTTAAAAGGTGAGGCTCTAAGAGAGTATGGGGGATTTATTTTTCTTAAGTTTAATTTATTTAAATGGGTTTCTCCTTGCTATTTTTGGACGATTTTGACAAGTATTTGGCGAATAATCTGTGGTCTTGATTAAAAAACAAATTCAATTGTTCGTCTTGGTACATTATTGGTTGAACACTGATGTAGTCCTTATGACGTAACGTATGTCGTCTTTAATAACATAATTTTGTCAATTTGTAGACATTTTTAAGATTGTTTGGCCTTGATGATGATCTTGAAGTAGATCGAAAGTTTAACAATTGAATTTGTTTTTTTTTATTAAGACTATACCAGATCAAGATTATTCATGAGTAAAAATTAAGTCGATACATCTAACACTTAAAGCTAGTATGTCGACCAGAATGTTTGCAACACTGCTTTTGACATTTATTTAGAAATCGTGAGATGCGGTCTGGTGTGATGTAGGTTTCAGAAAAACATTTTCTTTATCGTGCCAACGTTCGATCTTTATTGAGATCATCTTCAGGGCCTGGTATTTAAAAACATTGTTTATATATTTTGGATGTGGAAAAGTGAATTTATACAATGCAAAATATATTTTTTTCAATCATATATGACCGCATCTCACGATTTCTAAATAAATATGATTAACGGTCACTAATCACCACACACTGCTTTTGACTTTCTACAATTTTAAGTTTTTTAGTAGAAACCTACAACATTAGATAAAGAATCATAAAAAATTGCCCATTTTGATAGAAATAAGTAAATCGTTTAAATTTTCTTGACATGCTTTTTATTGTTTCAAATATTTTTGAATTATAAAAAATAAATAAACATTAATAAAAATTGAGATAATTTTTGAATTAAAGCAATTATTTTTGGTATTTGCTAAAGGTGTACACATACACTGTACAAATTGCTTAGAAACTTGTTAAGAATAGAATCGTTGAAAATTCATATAATTACAGTGTATCTTACTCAGATTTAAATGGTGGGTTCTACTTCACAATTATTTATAAATTATTCTATAACGATGGAAAGAAAAGAAATAAGAAGCACCCCTCTTGTTTGGTATGTGAGTGACGGATGTACGAAAGAGAATGGGGCGAACAATTCAATTTAGAAGCCTTAGATTGGATTGAAAAAAAGGTCAATAGGTGGTGTCGGGATTCGGTTCAATTTGCCCATGGGATCTCTAATTCAGAATATTAAATCGTCCGTAAGGTGCTCCTCCTTTTTTTAAGCTTGGGAATTATTTAGGCAAGGGCCTTTCCATCCGGCCTCCGTCAAAACTGGTGGATAACCGGTTTTGCTCTGAAGATGAGGAATTGTGGTTTTGGTTCATTTCGTTTACCAACCATTAACGGGTTTCTCTTTTTTCTATTTATGCTACCAATCCCAACCCTCATAATGTTTGTATTTACTGGAGTGCATTGATTGTTTAGTGCCAGCAATTATAATGGTCTATTTTGCAAGAAAATCTTATGAAATCGTTACCCAATGCGTATCAAAAAAATAATCATTATTCCCTTTATGCCATTCTGTGTGTTGGTATAATAATTATTACAAGTACGCACATGGCATCGCAAGTCTAAAACATAAATTTGCTATGGTGTGATCAAACACTGACGGTTCAAATATTCAATAAATCAATATAAATGTAATATTTTAAACAAAAATAAATAATTGTTTCTGATCATCATCAAGTTGAAAAGGTAACGAGTTTTGAAGAAATTTCAAATGGCTCGATTGGAGCGAAACTCTCAAACGTACCGACCACCTGCAAGTAACCCTGTCTGCTCCTCATGGGATCTGTATTGACTTGGCACATGTACCATCCGCGGTCTGCTTCTTGGACGTTGCGTATGTGCAGATACCAAGACCTGTGGTCGTTGAAAGAGAGTGTAACCCTAGGATTCTGGGTTATCACGTTGTGATGGATCGAGAGTATTGTTTGTGTGTCCACACGTACCCAAGCGACCTGAAAAGAAAAAAAATCATCGAAAGTTCAATTCACACAGGGAATGTTCAAGGCAGTTTTGGCGTATGAAGGTTTCGAGAGAAAGAAATTCGCTTTTCCCCTTTTCTCGAGACAAGACGTAATTTGTAGTGACAAGGTGAGTGTAAATCTCAATACCTTGTATCCCTTGAGGTTCTCCACGACGCAGGCGAGGAGGGCGTCCCTCCCAACGGTAACAGTCACGTTGGGGATTGGCTCCGCGAACCTCGGCTTCATGGATTCTGGAAACAGACAAAGAAACACGGATTGAATAATTTTAACCAAAGACAATTTCCTCCCGCTATTGTCCTCTAGGACGAACTGAAACTCGTGACGCGAAACGCTCTAAATCTTCCCCAACTTGTTAACACAAAGCGGACGCGATAGTTTCGAGTGTAACTCTTGGAGCTACTTACCTCGCCCTATTCTCGCAATCATAATCCATGTGAAATTATTCCAAATATATTTTATTGAGTTTACATCGTAATTTATCTATAATTAGTGATCACCCTTTAATGATAATTATATATTAACAAACGAGAAGGGACGGGACCTTCTTCGGGCTTTGAACCTTTAAATTTAAAAGGGTAACAAATATGAACATATGGTCACGATTTAAAAAGTATAGTTTAAAGTTAATTATTAAAAGTAAAATTAAACGTTGAGGTTATTATAGCACCAAATACAATGTGAATTATGAAAAAAGTAACATATATATGCAACAGAAAAGAAAAACACTGGCAATCGTTTCAGTTTAACAGTATCATCTGATAAAGTTTGGCAGAAGGTCTAAGCATATATCTATTTTATATATAGAGTTTGGGCAGTAATAAATGCAATTATTTTATAACGGGTGATTTCTATACGAAAAATTTAGCCAGGTGCTTCTACTCTTGAAATGCAACAAAAAGTATGTAGGTATCAACTTTGGTCCGATTCTCAACCTTTCCGCAGATCCATTACAGTTCGTGGTCCGATTAACCCTTTTTTCAATTAGTTAATCTTTATGAAAGATATTGGTTGAAATAAAAAAGTCAGTGTCACGAGCGGGATTCGAACACACGATCTTCGGCTAGATACGCCGCTCCTCTACCACTTGAGCTATCGATCTCGACCCGCTCTGACACTCGTATTCATTTGTCGCCGAGAATCAAATAGATTAGACGACATTTCAAAAATGGCAAAAAGGAGGGAAAATTCGAGAGGTGAGGTTGAGATGGGAAGTTAGTGTTCGAAGTCACGATAACTCAAGTGGTAGAGCAGCGGCGTATTTAGCCGAAGATCGTGGGTTCGAATCTTCCACGTGACACTGACTTTTTGTCTCAACTTCAACTTCTGACTTTTTTCAACTATCTACGGTTTACTTAATAAATCTACCCATAGCTCTTGACCTATTCATTTTTGGGAAAATTAAACAGATAGCTATTGGAGCTTCAAATTTTCATTAAAGGTGCATTCTTCTAGAAATTGCAATTTAATTTTTATCAAAAAGACAAACAATAAATATTGCAAAAACAGCTAAATTTAAAATTTTTTAAAAAACTAATTTTGCAACCTCATTTGAAAAACTCATTTTAGATCTTGGCAAATTTCATAACTTCTTATTTTGAATGTTGCTTCGCGGTATACCCTTTTCTTTAATTAAATCGAACCAAAGTGCTGAAATTTTATGCTGAATGTTAAAAAAGTGGTGACAGTTTCCAACTTTAACTTAATAAGAAAGTAAAATAAGAAAGAAACATGAAACAAAACTCATAAAAAAAGATTATAAACATAGCAGGAAATTGGACAAAATATCTACACTAAACACAGACAAAAGAAGAAAAAATACAACAATACAGAAGTTGTAAAAACCTACCAACTGAATAAAAAAGCACAACAAAACGAAAATTTCAACGTAAAAATAAATAAATAGGTATAATAAACACAGTTAACAACTAAATTACGTTGATTTCTTAAATTCTTGGTTAAAGTTGGGTTTTTAACTTCTGTATTGTTTTTTTTATATGTTTAGTGAAAATATTTTGTTCATTTTTTTGCTTTGGTAGTTCATTAAATTTATTGCCTCTTTTTAAAGTGTTTTGTTTCATTTCTCTTTCTTTTTTTTAGCTTTAAGTTGAGAAATAAATTTTGCCCTGGCAAAAATTTATATTACTAGATTAGCTCCACTTTCCCGTTTTCACACCGTCACCAATTTGTTTATATTTACCATAAAATATATCATTTTGGTTCAATAAAGAAAAGGGTACATCGCTAGAAAGCATATCAAACGAAGAAGATGTTAAATTAGCTGAGCTTTGCCGTGAATTTTTACAACTTGGTTGAAAATTAGTTTTTATACAAATTTTAAATAGCGCTTTTTCAGTTTTAGAAGTATCGAGCAATTTTTCTCTAACAAACCCTCTACTTCAAGGTACGGTCTTGAAGAAAAGAACAAATTCAGTTGTTACTTTCAAGTTTACAACACACTGTTTGCTTTAAATTAAATGCAAACAACAAGACAGCTGAATTGAAATGTGGACAAAATAGAAAAATGTTTACATAGTTTTAAAATTGGCTACTAATTACAATTAATTAAGGTTTTTATTTGAGATAAAAAAGTCAATGGCACGAGCGGGATTCGAACCCACGATCTTCGGCTAGATACGCCGCTGCTCTACGACTTGAGCTATCGTGACCTAGATCCACTCGGACACCAACCTCCGATCTCAACCGCACCTTTTGAATTTTCCCTCCTTTTTGCCATTTTTCAAATGTCGTGTAATCGGATTGGATTCTCGACGACAAATGAAATGGCCACGGAGAGCTTTAGTAAAATATACTTCATTTTAATTCATTAAATTCACTAATTTCGTGGTCCGATTGACCAATTAATATATTGCAATTAATTAAGGTTTTTAGTTGAGATAAAAAAGTCAATGGCATGAGCGAGATGGGAAGTTAGTGTCCGAGTGGATCGAGGTCACGATAGCTCAAGTGGTAGAGCAGCGGCGTATCTAGCCGAAGATCGTGGGTTCGAATCCCGCTCGTGCCATTGAATTTTTTATCTCAACTTAAAACCTTAATTAATTGTAATATATTAATTGGTCAAGCGGACCACGAAATCAGTGATTTGCTAGTAAAGTTTTGTTTGACATCAAAAGAAAAGAAAAATGTTTAGCACGAATGAAGAATTGAGATAAAACAGTGAAAAATTACATTTTTTTCTGCAAAAAAATGTTTTTTGTTAAATCAATTAATTTTGTTAATCAATTTTTTGTTAAAATTGATATCCTCGTGACGAGACGTAAGAATTGGAATTATATAATTACACAAATATTGCATTACATCATCATGTAGGACGTACTATCTATGACAGAAGGAATATCATTGTTACCATCCCGTTTGAAATGACAGTAACAGGGTGGCTTTTATGCCTGGACTGATGTAACATTTATAATCCTCATTTCACCCATTTCCAAGTTCTAAACATCGGTTTACAATTATTAGTACCGTAGATGGGAGTCGTTGCCCTTTAACAAATATGCAATATGTTAACTGCAAATATTTTATATTCAAAGTATTCATTCCATCACGGAATTTAAAGTTAAAACTATTGGGTTGTCCGGAAAATAATGCAGGATTTTGGTATTAAACAAAAAAAAAGAAACTAGTTACTTTAAAGCAATGTTCTTTAATCAAAATAATTTCCCATACTCTCAATACATTTCTCCCAACGTGTTGGTAACTTATTAATTCCGTCTGAGTAGAATTCAGAATTTTTAGAATTGATAAAGTCAATAAATGCATTTTCCAGTTCCGTTTGATTTTTGAATATTATGTGTTGTAAGTAGTGGTCCAGGTGTCTAAAAAAATGGTAGTCAGTAGGCGAGAGGTCCGGAGAGTAGGGTGGGTGAGGCAAAGTTTCATAGCCAAGCTCCAATAATTTTTGTGACGTTACACGTGACACATGTGGTCGAGCGTTGTCATGCAACAAAATGGGCCCTTTCCGATTGACCAAAGAGGGCTTCATTACTGCCAATTTCTGATGCATGGTATTAATTTGGTTACAGTATGATTCAGCATTGATGGTTTCGCCAGGATTTAAGAAGCTGTAGTGTATTAAACCAAATGAAGCCCACCATACCGTAACCATTACCTTTTTTTGATGAGTTGGGGGCTTTGGAAAATGTATTGGAGCTTCTCCTTTGTCGAGCCACTGTCCAGAACGTCTAGTGTTATCGTAGAGAATCCACTTTTCGTCACATGTAACAATTCTGGCCAGAAATGGGTCATTTTTGTTTCGACAAAGAAGTGATGCACAAACATCAAAGCGCTGATTTTTTTGGCGATCGTTTAATGAGTGTGGAACCCAATTTTCGAGTTTTTTCACTTTTCCAATCGCCTTGAGGTGGTCAGCGACGGTCGTTTTACTGACTTTGAGTTGCTCTGCAAGTTCTCGAACAGTTGTTTTGGGGTTTTCTTCCACCACTGATCGCAGAACATCATCATTAAGAGAGGAAGGCCTTCCACGACCTTCTTCATCTTCAAGGCTGAAATCTCCCTCCCGAAATTTTTTAAACCACCTTTGCACAGTGCACTCATTAACACAACCCTCGCCCCAGACTTGGTTAATGTTTCTAGCCGTTTGGGCTCCGCTTCGGCCGAGTTTAAACTCGTAAAAGAAAATCGTACGAAATTCTCGCTTTGACATTATAAGGATGACTGAATTATTTCCAAGTAGCGGAATGCTACAGAGGTAAACAAACAATATCATTTGGAAGAGGATTAATAAGTGTTGACATTCATACAAATGAGTAATCCTGTAAACGTAAACAGAATATTTTATATAGATTTTTTTTAATGAAAACTTAAAATCCTGCATTATTTTCCGGACAACCCGATATCTGATAAAAGAACGTCTTAGCCTATATTAAAGTATGAATTGTGCTAGTAATAAATCAAACTTATTCTCTAGGGTATCTTTAAAGAAAAGCGTTCTTTTTTTTAAACAAAACCACCAAAACGTTAATAAAAATGTGGAAAGTTTAGGGACTGACAAAACAACTGAGGTCATCGCCGGCCCTCTGCGCGTTTTTCGTTCTCTTTCTGGTCTTTCACGCGTGTTTTTCAGCCTGCAGCTATTTGGGCGTCTCAATGGATATCTTAAAATGCTAGCATCACATTTGTATCTCAGGCACTTCAGAATAAATATAAAACATATAATATATATACATCACCACAAATTTAGATGTCGGGTTAC